CGCACCTTGCGCGTTCCCAGAACCGATATCTTCACCTTCTGCGCTATGTCCACGCTGGTCACACTGCCACCACGCAGCTACACATCGGCACCAACAGCACTGCTGTCGCCCTGGACGAGGCTCAGGCTGCCGCCAGAACCACTGCGGACAAACACGCTGCTGCCGGACGCACTGCTTCCGGAGTCACCGCTCGACACAGTCACATCACCACCGACGCCACTCGATGACGAGCCACCAGATACACGAACAGCTCCGCCAGACCCGCTCGACGACGAAGAACCACCGCTCACGTCCACGGACCCGGAAGATCCCGTGTACGACCCACCGCCACCCACGAGAACATTGCCTCCCGATGCCGCCGTGCCGCTAGAGCCGCCCACAACACTCACCATCCCACCGGGCCCTGTGTCACTAGAGCCGCTAGACATACGCACAGCACCGGTATTGCCATCCACTGCGCCACCCGACCCAAGCGACACATCGCCGGACGCAGATGCAGCACTTGCAGCACCACTCTCAATCGACACAAGGCCGCTCCCGTCGCTGCCCACGCCGCTCGTCACAGACACCGCACCGCCCGTCGAAGAGCTGCTAGACCCTCCCGATACAGACACACGACCCGCTGCCGTAAACGCATCGCCAGACTGCACAGACACATCACCGCTGCTAGCCGCTGCCGAAGACCCCGAAGACAGCGTCACCACACCCGACGCAGCATCCACGGACTCGCCACTTCCGATCGTAGCCGAGCCGCTCAAGGCGTCGACGCTCACAGAAGCACCGCTCACAACGGTCATCTCACCGCTGCCCAGCAAGCCCGCGCCAGACGAAATGGACACGCCACCACCGACGCCAGCCTCACTCACGCCGCCGTCAAGAGAAACAACGCCTCCAGTCGCCGCTCCCGTCGAGGCCGCACCACCGGACAAGGCAACATCGCCCCCAAGGCCCGAAGATGCACTCAAAGAGCCACCTCGAACACTCACCGACCCGCCACCCACGCTGCTGGTCGTGCCAGCTCCGGCCACAATCTCGACCTTCCCGCCGTTAGCACTGCGACGAACACCGCTAGACAAACTCACCACGCCGTCCTCGCCAGACGACACGGTCACAGAGCCTCCGCGTGCACTCGAGCCGCCGGTTGACCCACCACGGATCTCCACGCTGCCTGCATCGGACGAGCTAGCCATGCCGCTAGCCACGACCACAGACCCACTCGATCCACTTCCGCTGACGCCGGACACAACCGACAACGAACCAGAAGTACCAGATTCCGCGCTGCCCGTACCAATGTCCACGTTGCCGCTCAAGCTGGAGTCAGTCGCAGCTGCACTGGACACCGTAATGCTGCCGCTGTTCGCGCTCGCCATACCGCTCTCAAGCGACACAGAACCACCCTCAGACGAACCGCCGCTGCTTCCGCCACGCATCGACACGGAGCCACCACTCGATACGGTACTACTGCCACTAACCACGGACACGGACCCCGACGTACTGTCGCTCGAGTCCCCACTGCCCAAC